GGATCAGCAGCAGCTGGATGCAATAATCGCATGTCAATGTGCATTGGCTCGTTTAGTTTACACTCGAAGTAGATTGGTCCCTCTAAGCGAGATCCCAATTCGTAGGTCCTCCGACGTGACGTCTCCGTTCCCTCCTTCAGGGAACGAGGGTTACATACGTAACCGAGACGTTATCTTTCAACTGCCAACTTAATTCATGTTTGCTGGACAAATAGTCTTAGATGCACTTAAAAAAGCAGCTGTTGAAACGAGATGTAAAATGACGAAAAACTGTTCACGGTTTTGTTTGTGACATTTTTCCCATTTATGAATATAAATGACGTACAGTTACATACTGGGGATGTGATTTAACAAATCCCATTTACTAAAGTCATGAAGAAAAATTAAGTAAAAATGAAGAAAAATACAGAAAAATGGTCTACATTTTTGTGTGCTTTTTTACACCTTGAAAAAAGCAAATAAATCAAGAATTTTTTTTTTTATTATTATTATTCAGGGTATCTGCAGGATTTATAAGCTCAAATTAAGACTTTTAAAGACTTTTTTAAGACCTGCACAAATAAAATTAATACCATATGAGCGAGGTAGAGCAATGTCTATGGTAGTATATTAACTGTAAAATGACTGTAAAAAGCATGATTTACAGTTCAGATACAGGTTTTCACAAAAACAAAAAGTATTATAAAATGTTAAAGTTCACATTTCAGCCTTTAAACCGTTTTTTAAGAAAATGGATTCAAAAGTAGTCAAAAGTATCAATTATTATATTCATTAAAAATATTATCAATCAATTATTATATTATAATATATTATATAACTATGTTTTACTGGCTTAATTGTTTAGATTTCTTCTTATTGATTCACCAGTTAACATTTACAACTCTGTGTGTGTGCAGCATAAAAACATTGGTTGATTTTCGCAGAGGTCAGAACAAAAACAGCAGAAGGGCTTACTAAAAAAGCACATTCTTTCTCTGTCAGTAGGTGGCGTTTTTGGTATGGCAGAAATATAGCGTTTTCCCTGGTAACAGCAGTCCACAAAGCAGAGCAGCACCTGACTTTGAATTGTGCAGCGCTCATGTTTATTTAATTAGATCACATTCTTTTGAAGTTTAATAGTCACATTAAGCCATATCGCAATTCTTGTCTTTCCATTCCCAAATTTAAGACCTCTTGAAGTCAAAATTAAGACATAATTAAGTCTTGTACAATTTAAGACTTTTTATGGCCTTAAATTTGATACAACTACATTTTTAAAAGACTTTTAAGGACCCGCGGAACCCTATTTAGTTGAGCTGAAAGCTGAAATATGCAACTTATGAGGATGATTATCATTGGGGACTGACAAAAATTCTACTCACTGTTTGTACGTCACCATGACGATGAGAATAGCTGGGATGCAGCACAGAATGATGATGATGGCCAGTGCCAGCAGAGCCCCCTCTGTGTAGCCCACAGCCTGCGCAGCCTTCTTCACACTCGCCACGATGTCAGGAGAACGGATCTCCAGAATCCGCCCGCCCTCGCCCAGGTACGGCTGGAACTCTTTATTGATGTCCAGAATCTTGCCATCCAGAAACCTGTCAAACACACATTTAGCAGACATATTAGAAAATCATTTAAATGTAGATATTTTCCTTACACAAATATGTACCTGCATAGTAAGCACATCATAATCACAAAAAACTTTCATATAAAAACCCCACAAAGCATGGATAATAATGTGAGAATAATAATACAACTGTATTGATGCAACTGAAATGTACTGAAAAACATATTTGTAATAATATTACAAATAAAAAAATAAAAAAAAATATGTGTGTGTGTGTGTGTGTGTGTGTTTATATATGTATATATAAACACACAGTCCGGGGAGTGAATTTCAAGGGGGGGCAGCGTTCCACTTCCAACTGCTTAGGTTCTTTTGGAAATGAAAGTGATTTCTATATTTTTTTCTTATTTAATAGCCTACGTAAGCAATCACAGTTCTGCACATAAACAAAGTGCAATATGTTAAAACTTGTAGCGTGATATTTGTGTCTATGGTTTGCCGTGCAATGCCGTTTTTTGTGATTGGCCATAATACATGCACACTGCAGCCAATGGAAATGCTTCTGTATCGGTGCGTGTCCTGCTCCTCACAGAACAGATCACGAAGGCAGACTGCAGATTTTGTTCAGTGCTGAGTCATTCAAGCTCAGACCCTCTCATTATAACAAACAAAGTGTAGACACGATGTGAATAATAGATTCAGTGTGCAGTGTAGAGAGATTCATGAATTATAATAGAAGTTTGAGAGATCATGATGAACTAAGACGAGTGACAGCTTTTTAATGATTATAAAGGGAGTTTGAAATTATTTTAGTTGAATTTATTGTTTAATTAAAATGTTTGATAAGTTTATAAAGTTTATAAAGATGACACATTTAATAAAGTTAGGAAAAAAAATTACATTACAATGGTAAAAAAATGCCCTGGCAAATCACTTTAAGGAGTCAAATATCGCCTCATAATGGGAAGGTTAATTTCTGTTATTGATCAGAAGGTACGGTGGCCGAGAGAGCTCAACGCGCTGCAACTTCAGAAAACACATGCAAATAGAAAAAGCACCAGCAAATTAAGAAAACATCTTCATCAGTTTGACAGCACATGTGCTGCAAATACTCGCAACACAATCAAATACAAAAACACGCTGCAAATGCTCACAACACAAACAAATAAAGAAACGCGCTGCAAATGCTCACAACACAACCAAACAAAGAAATGCGCTGCAAATGCTGACAACACAAAGAAATGCGCTGCAAATTCTCACAACACAACCAAATAAAGAAACGCGCTGCAAATGCTCACAACACAACCAAACAAAGAAATGCGCTGCAAATGCTGACAACACAAAGAAATGCGCTGCAAATTCTCACAACACAACCAAATAAAGAAACGCGCTGCAAATGCTCACAACACAACCAAACAAAGAAATGCGCTGCAAATGCTGACAACACAAAGAAATGCGCTGCAAATTCTCACAACACAACCAAATAAAGAAACGCGCTGCAAATGCTCACAACACAACCAAACAAAGAAATGCGCTGCAAATGCTGACAACACAAAGAAATGCGCTGCAAATTCTCACAACACAACCAAATAAAGAAACGCGCTGCAAATGCTCACAACACAACCAAACAAAGAAATGCGCTGCAAATGCTGACAACACAAAGAAATGCGCTGCAAATTCTCACAACACAACCAAATAAAGAAACGCGCTGCAAAAACAGAAACACGCTGCAAATGCTGACAACACAACCAAATAAAGAAGAGCGCTGCAAAAACAGAAACGCGCTGCAAATACTCACAACAATCAAATAAAGAAACGAAAATACTTTACTTTGAAAATACTTAGAGAATACTTTTTGAGCACAAAGAAAACAAAAATAACAATTTATTTAACAATTCTTCTCCCCCTAGTTACATCTTCCGCCATTTTGAAGAGCACCCAAGAGCGTAATCGACGTAATCAGCATTGTTTACGTTCGGGGGAGAAAGCGCGCGCATGAACGTAATCTGCATAATCAGCGTTGTTTACGCTTAGGGGAAAGCGTGCCTATGCATTGTGATACTCTCTAAAATGGCGGAAGACGTAACTCGGGGGAGAAGAATTGTTGAAAAAATTGTTATTTTTGTTTTCTTTGCGCTCAAAAAGAATTCTAATAGCTTCACAAAACTGAAGTTGAGCCACTGATGCCACATGGACTGTTTTACCGATGTCCTTACTACGTTTCTGGACCTGGGAACATTACAGTTGCGTTGCTATCTACGCATATTCACTTATTAAAATATTATAATAATATTAAATAATATCAAATATTATTTAATATTAAGATAATATTTAATAAAATTAAGATAATATTAAAATAATATCTTAATTTGTGTTCCGAAGATGAACGAAGGTCTTACGGCATATCTTATCTTATCTTATCTTATCTTCCATAACAGCACAAAAAGAATTAAATAAAAAAATTTAAAATACAAATACAAATAAAGTATGTACACTTTCTGGCTGTTCAGGCTGAAATATATTGAAAAAAAAATTGTGATCAAAAAAGAAAAAAGCAATTTGTAAAAAAAAAAAGCTAAAATAATAATGCAACTGTAGGAATGAATCTGAAATATACTTAAAAAAAACTCATCTGTGATTATATATAGCGTAATTATAATTTAAATCGGTTCCTTATACAGACATGTACAGTAAGCACATCATAATCACAAGACTGTACATTTCTACTCACATATACAGCATCTTTATACTGTAGTAACTATGATAGCCTTGAGATGATTGACAGTTAGATGTTGATAACATTCAGTGTCAATCTAAAGTATCTTCGGCAGAGAAGTGGAAGCCAAGAATCCTGTTAATGAGGGCAGCATCCATTCAGCTGTATTTAGCCTTTTCCATATGAGTTACTAGGCAACATGATATGAAAATCCTCATTCTCCACTGCATGTGTAAATGGTTTGCCTGTGCTAATATCAAGTATTATTATTTAATATATTGATATAGAGCTGATTACCAGTGCCACTCCAAAGCAGAGCAAGAGTACTTTTCTCCTCACACTTGGCTTTGTTGACACTTTGCTGATCAATAATGTTTAAATAGACCTGCATGTTAAGTACTTCATAAGAATCCACGGCAGACCAATTAGACCTGCTGCAGCAGAACACTTCAACAGAAGCACCTAGTAAACAGGACTGTTCAAACACAATCGATTAACCAGGTTTAAAGACTGATGAAAGACTGTGTGTATTTGATCTGTGGTCAAACAGACCTGCAAAACCACATGTACATGTGCTTCACAACATCTCAAGAATGTCCTTTCAACTGAGGACAAATAGATTTTGAAGGTGAACTGAGTAACTCTATTGCTATTCTGAATTTACACCACATTTACTCCTGTATTTTTACTCTCCACATTCCATCAGATCAATCCAGTGGTTAAACCTGTATGACTCTGTGGAACACAAAAGAAGATACTGAAAAATGACTCAGTTTTTTGTCCCTACAGTGTTGATTTGAACTCGATAGTTGAAACATTCTTCACCTTCTGTGTTTCGCAGAAGAAATAAAGTAGGTGAATAAATGTTGACAATTTTCATTTTTCAGTCAGACTGCCATAATTCAACAAGTTTTTTTATCTACAACTTAATTAAAAATCAAGATGATTACTGGACTCACACTCTAAAATAAAAAAATTAACTAAAATAAAATGTCAGTATAGTATCTGCTGTTTCACTAAATGGAAAAGGAATGGATCAAACCCAAGCTGGACTGAATCACACGGGAACCAGAGTGACGAACAAACTGACAATATTTTGTTTCTTTTCTAAATCAAAGATGATGGAACATCATTTCAGATCATTAGATCCAGCTTTAACCCCTGGTTATACCCACAAGTCCTTCATCTTTTTGAATCACGTCCCTGTTGTGGAGGAAGAGAAACAGCATGGGTTAACTCACACTGTTACAGACACGCAGTGTGAACGGGCTCAACAATGGCTGCCTGTTTTTATCGTATTTCAGAGTCAATAGGCTTCTAACCAGCAGGATGACTGGATTCATCCATACAAAACACCACTGAGAGTGACCAGATGGATTCTGGAAAAATAAACTAGTTTTGTGAGGGGAACTTTTGTGAATGCTGAAGTGGAGCTCAGACTGTAAAGCTTTAAGAAGCAGATTTTGAGTTTTATGACCAGAGACATGAGAAAACAACCTTGTCTCCAGCAGAACATATGAAAGGAGAAGAGTGGAAAAAACTCAGCAGTCTGAGGAAGATACATACACACAAACAAACACAGCCTGAAGAATGTCAATGGAGTCAAATGGAGACAGATAATGTCCACAAACACACAAAATAAAAACACGCCCTCACCCGTAACATATATAACAAATGAGATCTCTTTAAAGGCATAGTTCAGTCAAAAATAAAAATCGATCATTCAGTCTCCCTCATGTTCTTCCAAACTTGTATAAATGTTTTCTTCCATGAAACACAAAAGAAACATGTCCTTCTTTTCTCCATACAATTCCAAGAGAACCGTAAAAGTGGTCCATGTGACTCAGGCACTATATTCCAATAGGTGACCCTGGACCACAAAATCAGTCTTAAATCGCTGGGGTATATTTTTAGCAATAGCCAAAAAATCATTGTATGGGTCAAAATTATAAATTTTCTTTTATGCCAAAAACCATTAGGATATTAAGTAAAGATCATGTTCCATGAAGATATTTAGTCAATTTCCTGCCGTAAATATATCAAAACTTAATTTTTGATTAGTAATATGCATTGCTAAAACTTAATTTGGACAACTTTAAAAGGTGGTTTTCTCAGTATTTAGATTTTTTTGCACCCGCAGATTCCAGAATATTGTCCTCTCCTAACAAACCATACATCAATGGAAAGCTTATTTATTCAGCTTTCAGATTATGTATAAATCTCAATTTAAAAAAATTGACCCTTATGACTGGTTTTGTGGTCCAGGGTCATATATTACAAAGACTTATTCGAAGTCTTTGTAAAGACATACA